CCCCTCCTGTGTCTGTGTCGAGGCACACAGATCAAACGGTAATAGGTAAATAATGTACCACTCGGAGTCATGTAAACAGAGCTTCATCGCTGAGGCATTGTTGCTGTTGTCAAGATGAGAAGAAAGAGCAGGTGGCCACGGGCATGCCTTTGTCTCCTCTTTTATCTTTAAACGGCAGTATATATATTTCTGACATTTTTACACCACCTTACTGTTAAAGGTACTGCAGGGTGTAATGTAGTCGTGCCCCTATGAAGATGGATGACAGTGGAAAGAAATAAAATAGTGTTGCTTAAAGGGACACTGTGTAACTTTTCTGCTGGAAGGTCCAACTACATTTTTGTCTCAATGACTGTAATTACTTTGCTTGGAATGTTTCACACTATGATATTAAACTTAACTAACTCCATGGAAAAAAGCAGGAAATGCCACCAGACCAAGATCCCGGTCAGATCTGTACAGAGCATATACAGCATCGCATGGAGGATAAAACTAGAGATTTTGGGAAGAGATAGCTAATAATCAAGAGAGAAAATCATGTAAAACTAATAAAGACAGTGCAACCAGTTCACTGTATTATCCAAGTCTGATGGGACTGTCTCCGATCTCATGAGAATACATCAGAGCAACACAGCCTATCACGCATATGAAATACATATGGTCTACTGACAGCCACGCAGAGCCGGGTGACACTTTTAAAACTTTACAAGAAAAGAGAAAAGTTGCATGAAGAGCTAAATTCTAGATGTTCTTATGAAACACTTCCCTTTCTACTTTTTTATTTAAATATTTATTGACATTTCACAACATTTTATAACATGCACAATGGGGGAAGTAGACAGACTATATCCTGTCTTCAGAAGCATGCTGAAATACAATCGATTTTTACAATTTGGTTATTCTATAAAATAGTTTATGAACCCATTCTGTTTGCCAATAAGCCATCATTTCTTTCTATATCACTAAAGCCCTCAGAACAGCTTGATATTGACGAAAAAATAAAAAAAGGTTTCTGATGCATTAAAAAATATACAAAGGTTTGTGTGTGAAGAGAGTATGGCAATTTAATTAATTGAATGCGAGTCAATATCAAGATTCAGTCATTGCTAATCATCAGTGAAATTAATCTTTTTAACTGAGAAGTCTACAGCAGTTAAAAAGAAAAAAGAAATGTCAGTAAAAGCATGAAAGGAGGATGAAATTAAACCATTATTTGTATTGTTTTAAATGACATTGAGTCTGTATCGTTTATGTTCAAGAAATTATATAAAATTGAATTAAAATCTCACTGGTCAACAAGTTTTATATAAATGTTAATTGAATTTGTCATGTCACTCAGCTCTACAATAGAGGTATTGTCTAATTGTACAAGCCCTGCTTTTGAGAAGGAACAATTTCACAGTTATTTTGTCATTTATTTTAGACATCCATCTGTCTGTACTAATCTCAATTTATTCATGGATTCAAACTTTTAACAGTTACGTTTCAGACTGTCTTAAAGTATCCACAAGTGCCTAATTACAATAGCCCTGTATGTTCCTGCCCAAGGTGACTGACTGGACTTCAAAGGGCAGACTGGTGTCTCTGTGTGTCCACTGACAGCCCGAGGGTCCTGGAGCAGGCAGCACCAAAATAACTGATCTTTAAGGGCACTTATCCACCACTAAAATAACAGGTCTCAAGATCTCGGCCCCTGACTTCAGTGGGCGTGAGGTCTGCGGCCGTTTACCTCATCAATAATGCATGTAATATGAATTATTTGACAGCGTGTCTGAAAGTGAGCTAACGTTTTCAAAGCTCCTCCAGTGACAACATAGAAGGCAGGTTTCAGAAATCTAAGAACACGGACATAAAAAGTTACCTCCAGTTTGGCCCCGAAAGCAATTTGTGAAATGAGGTGAGCTCCAGGGGTGTAACAGGATTGGGGGGCCAGAGATTTACAGACTCGACTGTCATGGTTTAAGAGCATTTACAGAGTGGGGAGGCCAGCCTATATAGACCGCCTATTCATCCCCTGTCTTACCTAATGAAAAACCCCACACACGGACTACCACTGGCTTCAGGTCTGATTCCACCACAGGTTAGTTCATATCAAAGGCTGAAATAAGGCTACATGGAAAAACCTTCTTTCCAATGTTTTCTCTGCCCTGCCATTAACATTAATCGTGCACATGTTAGAAGTGAATAAGCGCATGTAAAACGTATAGCTTTTATTGCCTTGGATGTAATAACAAGAGTATATGGACACACCTTGTTTTTGGCATCATGGCTCTAGCACATAAATAATCCAATACAAGGCTGACGCTTTCAGAGTACATTATTGCACCGAGCTCCCAGTCCACTCTTAATATTTGAAGTGTCCGAGGCTAATATTTATGGCCTGGGTGTTCCCCCTCTGTCTATTGTATGTACCGAGTTGACAAGTTCCATGAAAGTGAAGGCAAATGTCAATAAATCTGCATTTGGAAATACTATTACTTCAGTAAATTCAAGATTGCAATAAATCCGACATGCAAAAGACAACCCATGGGTTTTCCAAACTCTGCAACTGCACGGTTCATTGTGCCTAATTTATATTTGCGACAATTAAAATAAAGCTTCTCGTTTGTCCTCAGTTTCCCGCCACATAAAACAGAAAGGAAAGTGTGTGGGTGTTCCAAAACATGTGCAAGTTTTAAATAAAAATTCTAAAGTGGAATCTGGATTCAGTTGACAGACATATTAAAGGTGCATTGCGAAACTTTTCTAGTGCCTTTCTCCAATTAGATGTTATTGCTTTGACTGGAATGTTTCACAGTATGGCATTAAATCTTTCTATCATTATGGAAACTAAGCCAGACCAAGTTACAGGTCAGATCTGTGGAGAGGCAACCCTGCTCACCGTCAGAATGCCTGTTTTGTTCTAGCAATTAAACCACCTGCAATAGAATAAATGTAAGTTAGAGCTGTTTAATGTCATACTGTGGAACATTTCAGGTAGAACAATGACATCTCCATAGAAACAAGAAGCACCTCTAACCAAAAAGTTGCACCTTTAAATAAAACATTCAAAACTGAATCTGGATTCGGTTGGAAGATGTATTTAAAAAAAAAAACAAAAAACAGCTGTAAAACGTGTTAGCAGACAAATTATTGTATACTAAAATCAGGAGCAGTCTATATTGATTGCAAGATATTAAGTAGACAATAAAAAATGCGCTAAAACAGCACACAGGAGTCCCACGCAGGGCTTTCCCTTACTATAAAATGGCAAGCATAGTGTTTCTTGATTTCCCTATCTCGTATTAAATGACCCGTGAAGGATGTTCGCGTTAAATTAAGAGGTCTGGCGTCTCCATCACTGCTGAGCTGTTTGGGGCTGTATACCGTAATGAGATCTGCCAGAGGAAGTCCATCCACCTGTGGGTACTGCTGACTGAGCATGCTCCAGTTTTGTGGCAACACTACATTAGAGCTTATCACAGTTACCACAATTGGGAGCAGGCAGTTAGCAAGAAGGTGACCCCCGTGTGGAGTAATATGGGAAGCTCAGCATGTATCCAGCCCAGGCCTTTTGAGGTGTGATGCTGGCATTTATTGGCAGGGACAGGGAGGGAGGGGGAGGGCGGTGGCAGAAGAGGGAAGAGGAGAGGTGATGGTATGGGGTGGGGGTGTACTGGGTCAGCCATATGTTTATGCAGCTGACCAGACCCCCCATTCTCACATGAAAGCCCTGTTAAGAACACCAAGCCAAGACAGTCCTTGCACATTATCAACATTTGCTATTCTTGGGGCTGTCATGCAAACCTTATGCTTATCGCCAACCGCAAAAACACTTTTCTTTTTGACGAATACCTCCCACTGCTGCTTACTGAGCACGTCTGGCCCTGACACCGCTCCTCTGCACTCAATTATGGACACTATTAGTTGTTCATTAGAGGTAAGACTTTTTCACTGACTTGATTTAATGCCTCAACTTTCAACTCCGGGCCACCACCAACACATGCAGTACTATCTGTGCCTAGAGCGTGCCAAGACACACTGTTCCAATCAGTGGATGCTCTGCTAGGCCTCTCCTCTGTTCTTTCAGAGTTCCTGTAAACTGCATTCATCTGTCACCCCATGTGTCATTTATCCCTTTATTAAATAGCTTGAATTAGCTCCAGTGGGCAGGCCTCCCCCACGGACCTGCTTTGAAAAACATTGCAAAAGATCAATAAGTGCACCCCAAGTTAAGTTAATCGGTGACAAAGAAGAGGGCACTGCATTCATTTGTCTCAACAGGACTAATTACAATTTTACCACAATGTTTTTTGTCCATTAGGGAAAGCACAAAAGTAACAAAACACATGCAAATGCAAATCTAAAGGCAGGCACCAAGAGCAGATAGGTGCCTAATGAAAAGGGACAGGGATCAGAGAGCAGTCATAATCCTGGAGGGAGAACAGTGTGCCCAGTCAGGGATGAAAAACAACTTCTGAAGCCCCACGGCCAATCAAGCGAGAATAAGGCTAATTTATGGTCTCAATAACAGAAAACGTGGAGGCAGTGCCCACTCAGAGATCCAGACATCAATAAAGTGTAAAGTGCGTAATGTAAGCTGACCTGTGGCATTTACAAGCCAAAAAAACAAGCAGTTTTCCATTTATTACAAAGTAATGAATGGGAACTGGCACCATTGTGGGCTGTAAGACATCCATTAGGACTGGAGTAAAGAATGGTGCAGCGACTTTATGGGAATTAACACTAGTATAGTACATCGTGGTGAATGTGACAACTTTACAAGCAACTCAAGCCTTCATGTTGGCAACTGGTGCCACTTGCGGTTCAAAATATAATCCTGCCCAAAGTGAGGAAGTGTTTGAGCGACATTGGTGAGAACCTGCGGCGCAACGGGCTCCACAGAAACAGCTTTCATCGAGACGCAAGCGTAAATAAATGGTATGAATTAACATGTGATTTTTGGTGTTAAATGGAGCCAGAGGCGCGGCGGTGGCGCGGTGTCCGCTCGTGTCTCGTACCTGGGAGTGCTTGAAGAAGGCAGAGATGCGAGTGATGTGCAGACTGAGGCACCTCGAAGCGCATCTTGCTCGGTAAATGCTGCCAGTGAAGAAAGAGTCGTCCTGCTTCCTTGCGCACACACTTCCCGGTGCCGTTAACGCGGTAATCCACAAACACAGCGTCACACACGCGCTCAGTCTCCTCCTAAACATGGTCCCGCTTGTTGTGATTTTAATCCCTCCGCGGTTCGGACAATACTGCGTGAGGGCTCCGCTGGAGAAACTAAAGAAACTTCAATTATACACAGGGGAGGAGCCACGGCCCCCCGCGCGCTCTGATTGGACCGAGGCGCAGTGAGTGACAGCCACGCGGAGGGTGAAGCAGGTAGACTGCAGCATTGTCCTGTGTTCTGAGCGTGGGCAGGTTGCACAGAGGGATTGAAAAGTATTACTGCAGCTACACAAACTAAGACTACACTCGACAACATAAAAGGATGCCAACTGGTACATCTTGTCTTGTCTTTTTGCATGGTTCTTAACTTGTCCCTTTGCCTTTGAGACAATTTGATGGCATATTACATTTCCAAGTAGGTTATTGAACTATGAATCAGAAACATGAGGCAAAACCCAACCCTCAAATGATTTATTGTTATCTATGTTAAATCAGATGAAGTCATGTTTTGGTTTATAGCCTTTATTAAGTATTGTAGATGTTTTAGGAGTTTGTCTAGTTTGTTTATGACAGACAATTCAATTTGCAATGATAAAAAGCGTACCAAAAGTGTATTTCAAAATCCCTTTAAAAGTATTCTTTATTAGAACACTGTGAAGCAAAACAAACAAAGTAGTAACATAGTAACATCAGTGAAGTTTTATGAGAAAATAGACAACGCCTTTTTTTCTTTTCATACCTAATCTAAAAATACTAGACATGTATTGTTTTGTACTTTGGAAAAAGCCTTTGAGCGTATCCCACTCTTTCTATATTTATTCGTAACTGATCATTATAATTTAATAATAATAATTTACTGTCTGTAACTGACATTTACAATTTAAAAAGGTTTAATAAATGTAATAAGCTGGCCTGGAGACTTCAAAAATTCTTGGTATCAGGGCATTCTGCATGTGAAAACGAGTGTGTGAATGGAGGTGTGTAATCACAGCATGTAATGGAATAAACTACCCTATAATCTTGTCTCTCTGGCACAATTAGCAGGCAAATGTCAGTTATTTACTACCGTTATCGACTTCACGTTAGCAGGCTACATAGTAAAACATATTTAGATCCTGTTTACTGCGTTTCCCGGGGAACCAGTGTCAACAATATACAATAAATAGTAACAGCCTATAGTGTGAATAGAACAGTGGGAGGATTACGTAGTGTTACACAGGCTTGGACATTACCAATATCGCTCAGTGCACACTTCACTTTCCAATCTATATAGGCAAACAAGACGTCATTCACACTATTCACTCTCAGAAACACTTAAAGAACTTTCATATGGCTTGAAAGTACTGTAATATTTCACACGTGTATTTGTGCACCTGTGGACATTGTGTGCGCTTATCAGGAAAAGGGAATGACCCGAAGGCTATCAGTAGAAACGGAGCCTTATAAGTGTTTATCAAACTACTTCTATAAAAGCAAGTTTTGTATGCAAAGATAATACCCTGAAGTAGACTAGTAAGATATTTACTATTCTACTGCTAAAACAGCTGCTACTACTACTGCGGCTTTTAATAGTAGTGCCAAGGACTATATAGTATTTGTCACTATTCACCACACAAATTCACACTTAACTTTTATTTAACTACAAAATAACTACAAGTAACTGTAACTTTATCAGCTTTTTATTCTTGTCCCTATGCTGTACACATTCATAGTCATATTGTACATGACTTTGTTTTACTGTTTTATTTTTGTAGCCTTATAATTCTACTCTACTTGTGAGTGCTGTCTTAGATTTAAGTCTGTTATTACGTCTTTTAAAAGGTATTTATCTTTATTTTGATTGCATTATTCTCCTGCTGTTCTTGAACTTTGATTTGCGACCTTTATTTGTCTCCATTGTGTGACAAATAAAGGTTATCTTATTTCTGCTAATTAAACATATATTATCATTATGACTACTTTGTAATCACAGTATAATTTGTAGTTATGCTTCACTAGAGTAAAATTATTCTGTTTCATGCTCTTTTTACCCAAAATTCACACATGAAAAGGCACTGAAGAGCAGATCAAGATGTAAGTAAATCCATTTCAGATTTTAATTCTTCGCTGGTATTAGACAAAATCCTGCATGCTTCAAGTACATATGGTCTCCACCTGTTTTCTGCACCGCCACTCCCTCCATTTACTGATGATGACACCACTCATCAGAAATTTAGGGTTCGACAGGTTTTCGCATCAGGCCATCACATATGGTCTGGGTGTATCCTGCCAACAGCACAGGGAAGCCCTCTCCTCCAGCTCTCACACCTCCCCGTTTAACAGTAGCTTGGAAAAACAATTCAACATGGAAAACTATTAAAACCATCCTGAACGGCATTCCGCACGCTGGACTCCCGGCTTCTGGCACCGCTCACACTGCCTCAGGTTTGGAGAAAATATGTCATGTTTAGGAAAAGCTTGAAATCCTCAGCGTTTATTGGACTTAAGGAGTGAGTGTTTTAATTAGAAGGTTCCCTAAAGGGTTTACAAGACACTCCAGCTTCTGTCAGTTCATCGAGTACTTCCCTTAACACGATTACAGCAGCAGCATAATAAGGTTTTATAGGTGGTGCTCTTAACTGAGAGGGGGGAAACACACTTGCAGACCATCATTAGAAGCTGGTTGGGGTCGCCATCTTGCTCGAGGCAAGTTGTAGCACTGTGCCAAGTAGTGTGGTGCTGGCCAGGGAAATCATATGCCCATATTAGTACATCCTGTGTAATTAAAACATGGTGTCATATATTGAATCAACATGCAGGTTTGATGTCTCACTCACAGTTAGATCTTTAAAATATGTATTATATTGTCTAAATTGTAGTCATATTTGCCAGACAGTGCCTCTCTTTTTTCTGCATCACTCGATGAAAAACAAAAACTGAAACACCACTCTGACCGCACCAGTCCATCTTTGCCGCAATCAGGCAGTTTTATCTGGAGGTAGACATACTGTAGTTGCCAACTGATAGCTGGTAGTTTTATTCGAGCTCTGTGTGGTTGTGTCCTTGGGCAAGACAATGCTCCCACTTGCTGAGGTATGAACAAAATTTGTTGTGCACGGTATAGGTGCCACGTTTCTGTCATTCTGTTCCAGGCAAGAAAACAGTACTAAACAAAACCCCCAAAAAAACATGGGAAACAAAGAGATTACAAAATTACAACACTTACTAGAACTGCAGCTGTCTCAAATGTTGCTTTTAAAGGTGCACTATGTAACTTTTTCATCTGCTTGTTTTTATGAATATATCGCTGCTCTGCCTGGAATGTTTCACAATATGACATTAAACAGCTCCACCTTACATTTATTAATTTATTGATGGTTTTATAGCTCAAAAATGTCTAGACCAGACATGTCAACTCAAATTTGGCCCCCAAGATCACATCAAATATGTATTAGAGCTGTCCCGCTGGCTACAGATAGGCTATAGAGACATTATTTATTTAAAATTTTGTTATTATTTTATATTATGCTTGTTCTGGATTCAGCGTTGAAGCAAAACTATTATTAAACATTTATTTTATCTCAAAAGAAGAGAAAACATGCAGATGTTGTTGACATTTTTCAATAAATATTTAGTTTGGCCCACGACTTTGTCTCAGTTTTTAATTTTGGCCCTCTGTGAATTTGAGTTTGCCACACCTAGTCTAGACAAACAACATTCTGACTGTGAATGGGGTTGCCTCTTCACAGATTTGACTTGTAACCTGGTCTAGTTTGGGCTCCATGATGATAGAAAAGTTTATTACGATACTATGAAACATTCCAGACAAAACAATAACATCTTCACAGAGAAAAGCATTTAACGGACCTGATGTAGTGTTTCAATAAAGCATTTGCAAAAAAAAAAAGTACAAATAACAAAGATCAAAAAATCTGCACTAATGCATAATCATGAACACATTATCATACCAATCACTATATTTCAATCTTATTTCCCAGGTGGTCTTTCATCGACTATGTAACATGCACTGACTGAGAAATCCCTGGCTACTCTTAAACGATTTAAACACGGATGTCTGTACCTTAACACAGTATAATGGCTTAATTTGTTTGCTTATTACATCCATGTGTGGTGTGGGTTTTATGGTGAGGGGTGGAGGAAACTGACTGTCTGTGTGCGGTCCTTATGTCTGCAGCCGCCTCTGGGACACGGATACACTGGACGCCATGCTTTCTTTCATTGACTGGGAGAAAGCTCCAGTCTGAGGAGGCTATGTTTGTCTGACCTATAGCAGGCTCTGGTTTCATATGTGACCGCGTTCACCTATAAAGACAGTGGAGGAAAAGGAACAGTGTAAATGCAGCATGAGCATGTTTCACTGATTGGAAAAATGTCAGATTAAAATAAATGACTATCTTTATTCTGTTGGAGCTGCAATTGCTAACTAGTACCACAGAATAACATGATCAATTTGCATATTCTGTTTTGTTTTTTTTTGTTGTTGTTTGTTTTTTTTAATGCCAGATGCCCTTCCTGTCTCGACCATCCGCATGTGTTGTGACTGAACACTCAGGGTGTAATGCCAGGCCACCTTTTAGTTGCTGACTAAACACTTAACACTTATTTAACTGCAAAATAACTATAACCAACTATCCCAATGTGCTTCTTGGGTTACACTAGTTTAATTTTTTTTTTTTTTTTTTACAGGTCTTGGGGTGATTTTAACCCAAAAGCCCTGAAATGGGATAAGAGATGTGTATATTACCCATTAGAACAGATACAAATGGTCATATAGGAATGCTGAATTAAAAGGTCTTTGCTAAATCTGCTCTAAAAACATTAAGGTCAAATATTTTTAAAGATGCACCAAGTAACTTTTGTGGTGGACGGTTTGCCACTTGTTGTTGAATGTTCCATACTATGACTGATGATTAAACTTAAAGGTTGTATGGAGGATTTTTTGAGGGAAGAGAAATACAGTGACAGTCCTTTTTTCAAATGTTGTGCATGTGTGACACCATCTTCCTCCTCCACAGCTCCTCAGTAGAAACATCTCCTCCCGCCTCTTTACTCTAGAAATCAGCCAGTGCGCGTTCAGAATTACCG